ATCTGGGCAGCATGTCATGCTGGGTTCTGGGCAGCATGTCATGCTGGGTTCTGGGCAGCATGTCATGCTGGGTTCTGGGCAGCATGTCATGCTGGGTTCTGGGCAGCATGTCATGCTGGGTTCTGGGCAGCATGTCATGCTGGGTTCTGGGCAGCATGTCATGCTGGGTTCTGGGCAGCATGTCATGCTGGGTTCTGGGCAGCATGTCATGCTGGGTTCTGGGCAGCATGTCATGCTGGGTTCTGGGCAGCATGTCATGCTGGGTTCTGGGCAGCATGTCATGCTGGGTTCTGGGCAGCATGTCATGCTGGGTTCTGGGCAGCATGTCATGCTGGGTTCTGGGCAGCATGTCATGCTGGGTTCTGGGCAGCATGTCACGCTGGGTTCTGGGCAGCATGTCACGCTGGGTTCTGGGCAGCATGTCACGCTGGGTTCTGGGCAGCATGTCACGCTGGGTTCTGGGCAGCATGTCACGCTGGGTTCTGGGCAGCATGTCACGCTGGGTTCTGGGCAGCATGTCACGCTGGGTTCTGGGCAGCATGTCACGCTGGGTTCTGGGCAGCATGTCACGCTGGGTTCTGGCTAGCATGTCACGCTGGGTTCTGGCTAGCATGTCACACTGGGTTCTGGCTAGCATGTCACACTGGTCCCTAGGCAACATGTCACACTGGTTCCTAGGCAACATGTGTTTTATTGTTATCATGTTATTGTCAATGTGTTGATACAATGCCGAGGTGACGGCACGAGATTTTGCGAGATCTGCTCATCAACCTTGCACCGAAGGCGCAGCCTTACTCGGGGTACCGGTGGCATGCTTCCACTTGAAAATTTTGAAATCCAGTCTCTCTGAAATGCTATTTCTCGCATTTTGAGAATTAAATTTTGCTGACACAAAGGGTGTCATTTGTACATCCTGGCTATGGCATGGTCTACTGAGGTACATGTAGGCTTACAGAAAACTGCTTGACAGTTTAGAAACCCAAACATACCGTTATATATATAGTATGAAATAAGTATAAGATACAAACTGAGAAAATACAGAAAATGTTTAGTGTAGTGAGAGCGGCCTGATGGATAGTGAGTATTAGATCAAGATGAGAATTAGAAATGTGTTGGTGCCATGGATGTTACTGGTAGCCATAGTGAGAGAAGACAGCATTAGCTGTAAACTTGTACAAGAGCGTTATTGATAGAAGTGACGGGAGCCACAACTACTGGCAGACGCAGCGGCACTGTAACTGAATTGATAGATTATGGGTAGAAGCATAGTTGACCTGCTACTAAATGAGAGGTAGCTGCTTGTGAAAGGTAGAAACAGTAGGTGCTATACCTACATGTACAAGCATCAATGGTTTATGTAATATTACTAAAATTCACTTGAAAATCTCAACTCGTGTAAATGGAGGAAAATGAGAAAATGCAAAACTGAGGTTGCATCAAGACCCCCTAAGACAGTAACAATTGTCTAGCAATATTCTTGCATATGGGATGAAATGGTAATAGTTGTCAGTCTGGTTTATTTTCAGAAGATGAATGTTGTAGATTGGTCATTCATTTACGTCTAAAAGTATAAAATAATTTTACATTTAACCAAGTTTATAATAGTGTCCCCTGGTGCTGTCAGATTCATGTCAATTCTTTGTCGTTTCTGACCAAATTCTTATGCAATTTTAACGTGAAAAAAAAAATTCCTATAATTCTTTTTTCTTACCATTTGGTAAAGCACTAATACCAATTTCTGAAACTGCCTTTTATTGTAATCCGAATTTTTAGATTTCTTCTTATGGTAGTTTTACATAGTATTTCTACTATGGGAGTTCTACATAGTATTTCTACATGGTATTTCTACATAGTATTTCTACATAGTATTTCTACATAGTATTTCTACATCTACATAGCATTTCTACATGGTAGTTCTACATAGTATTTCTACATAGCATTTCTACATGGTATTTCTACATAGTATTTCTACATAGTATTTCTACATGGTATTTCTACATAGTATTTCTACATAACATTTCTACATGGTAGTTTTACATAACATTTCTACATGGTAGTTCTACATAGTATTTCTACATGGTAGTTCTACATAGCATTTCTACATGGTAGTTCTACATAGTATTTCTACATGGTAGTTCTACATAGCATTTCTACATGGTAGTTCTACATAGTATTTCTACATGGTAGTTCTACATAGTATTTCTACATGGTAGTTTTACATAACATTTCTACATGGTATTTCTACATGGTAGTTCTACATAGTATTTCTACATGGTAGTTCTACATAGCATTTCTACATGGTAGTTCTACATAGTATTTCTACATGGTAGTTCTACATAGTATTTCTACATGGTAGTTTTACATAACATTTCTACATAGTATTTCTACATGGTAGTTCTACATAGTATTTCTACATGGTAGTTCTACATAGCATTTCTACATGGTAGTTCTACATAGTATTTCTACATGGTAGTTTTACATAACATTTCTACATAGTATTTCTACATGGTAGTTCTACATAGCATTTCTACATGGTAGTTCTACATAGTATTTCTACATGGTAGATTTACATAACATTTCTACATGGTAGTTCTACATGGTAGTTTTACATAACATTTCTACATGGTAGTTCTACATAACATTTCTACATGGTAGTTCTACATAACATTTCTACATGGTAGTTCTACATAGTATTTCTACATGGTAGTTTTACATAACATTTCTACATGGTAGTT